CTTGTCGACACTGATGATAAATATTTATAAGACTTAAAATTCATATTTTAAAAAGTACTTTAGCTAATTACAATAATGGATCTAAGCAAATGTACATAAATATAAGTGTCTCCTAACACTGTATATCGGATATCGTATAAGCATTTAATGTATTAAAACGATTGTAATGATAGTATTATTTTTGTAATTAACCTACGATAATGTTCCGGATGATGTAGGAATGATTTCATACACGTGACATGATCTTTTTCGTGTTCAATGTACAAAAACTGAGAAAAAAGCAGAAGAGGAATAATAAATAAATATCTTCATTCTAAACCTTCCGCCATTGATTGCCCGACCGTTGGAATACAGGGGTTTCGTGAAATGGATTAGGTTAGGTAGTCGCGTGTCGCAATTTTTAACAATGGACGCGAGCGTCATTTTTTCAGCTCGCCCGGTAACACGAACTTACCCCCTGAAAGCATGAAAATATTCTCCACGGAATATAAATCTAAAATCACGTAAATATCTCTACTACGTAACGATTCTAAAAAAGCGTGTTCGCGGAAATTCGTTTTTCAAACGGAACAATTTTAGATTACAACTGCGGGCCGGCCAAAGCGGACGGAGGACTGTGCACGACGTTGTCGGCTTTAATAGAAGAGGACGAATCGTATAATGTCCCGCGATGCAATAGTGTTGGTGCGTTACGCCGCGAAGAGCGAACAGCGAACAGTCAAGCAGGGGAAAAGTGAGATCTGTAGTCAGTAGCGGCGCAGGTTCTGCGTCGAGCGCGTGTGTGCCTTTTCAGTTTCGTTCAGCGCGCGCGTTCCACCGCCGAGAAAGTTTTCGTTTTCCACGTTCCAGCATGTGACTCGTGTGTACGTGCGATTCCACCGTGAGGCCGAATATATCACGAGCAACGTGCACGCGTGTGCTGACAGAAAACGGGTGAGTTAGAACCGTGGAATTGCGAAACGGGTTCCAGTCAGCCGCCCGTCGCCGACGTATTCGCTCGCGAATGAAAACGCGATGCGACCGAGTCGAGGGAAATGTTTGATGGGTGACGTCGAGGCCATTGCGATAGCCGCCTCAAGGCACGCTTACCCTCCCGGCTGAAAATATATTCGGTCACGTTTTTAACGCTAGAACTACCAGTTGAGATCATTCGTTTCGATTCTTTTGTTTAGCAATTCGGATCTTCGAAGTGTTGAATATTCGAGATGATTTTGAACATAGTTTTACTATAATGAGTGTCTGAGGAAACTGAAAATAATGTATTGTTACAGTTTTTATAGGAATTAAAAATTAATCGTATTAAATCCTCAAAAAACACAAATTGAATATTCGGAATGATTTTGAAAATAGTTTCACTATAACGAATGTTTGAAGAAACTGAAAATAATCTATTGTTACAATTTTTATAGAAATTGCATATTAATCGTATTAAATGTTTGATAGTTCTAGTGATGAAAATGAAAGAGATATAATAGCAAATTATTTCATTGAATCTTTTCATTATTGCACGTTTATCTCGCCGAATGGCGCCGCATTAGATAGCATTATGTACAATATAAAAATATTTGCACACCGTTTATATTGCTGAATTATAATAATTCGACTTGATCGAGGGTCACCGGTGACCCCACGGCATTCAACGTTTTCAAACAACTCTTGAATACTCGGCAGTTCTCCCATAATCTATTCGTTGATAAAATACAATAAACACGAATGCTGCGATTCACGCAAATGCTTCGCTCTCTAACGAGACTTGCTGATATCTGACTGATGGATATTGACTTAAACGTATCGACTACTTATGCGTTCGATTGTCAACGAACACGTTGCTATTCCATTGTTTAATTAATTGCATCAATATTTAAACTTCGACTGCCACGGTCATCGATGACGGAGCTTTAAAATTAGAAGATAATTATGAAGATAATTGATCTCGAATAGAAATTTTTAGTAACGTAAATAATTAGGTAATAGAGTTACGAGAATTTTCATATCGAAGAATTAATCATTGCTTGATGTTTCTCGTGGCAGTCACGTGTTAAAACTTTTGTGAAATTTTAATGAATCTTCATGTAACTACTCTGATGATTCTTGATTATAGAAAAGTACTCACAGAAGCCAACAAATAATTCGCGGAAACAATGAATTCGTATTTTGCTTACTTGTCATTCCAGTGAAATATCGCTGAACGATTACTTTGAGAAAGCCCGATCGGCAACGTGACTAATTATTTTGTGCATCGAGTAGGATTAACCAGTTGACAGTTTGACGAGACATACGTTATCGTGAAGATTGACATGATACTGATACTCTCATCTATGAATTCTTTATTTTTCCACGTAAACATGTAATTCTTTGTTTCGCTTTGACCTCTCATTAACCCTTGCACTCGGAAGTCTGACTAGAAATATTCATTTCCTAATGAGATAGGCGACATTCTTCGAATAATAGAACATAACAATGATAAAAACAAAGTAATTCTATATTTCACATGTTCATGGTCTAAGCAGAGTTTAACCCTTAACTCGATGGGTGACTCTCATTCACCGCATGATTTCAGTAAAACTATAAAATTTGATATTTAATATTATACCTTATAATCTACTTGAAAAATATTGAAATAAAATTCGTTCCTCAATGCACTTGTGATCTTCGAGTTTCACAAAATATACCTCATAATGCATCCATTTGAAAAATATTGAAATAATAGCTTCGTTCAATGCACGTGATCTTCGAGTTAGTTTCACAAAATATCGTTTTTATCTGGTCAAAAAATGTGAAAATATTTCTAGTGAAAAACTTCCGAGTGCAAAGGGTTAATATCGCGTGTAAGGCTTTAATTTTGGTATATAAAATCGATTTACAGTACGAAGTGTTCAAATATACTCTGCGCATTCGTCGTGCGTTCGACGAGTACACGGTCCATTTGTTTATTTGATTGCGCGCAGAAGCAGAGGTTTTTCCAACTAAATTCCGCAAGTTAACTGGTTAAGGAGACGCGTCGCGTCGAGTGTGTCTCGCGTTGAACCGTTACGAATCACGTGCCATCAACAATTGACCCGAGCGTGGCATCTGTTCTCGATAACAATTCCGCGCGGCGGTCGTCTCGATGGAAGCGCGCTAGACGCGTCAAGCCACACGATTAGAAGGCTCGACCTACAATGATTAAATAGAATGGCCACGATTAATAATCGAACGGAGACGACGTATATTTTTAGATGTCGGGATGCTGGTCAGTTGGGATCGTGAACGTCCGTTCAGACGCGAGGATGAGAATCGTCGTCGCCGAGCTAGCGTTGCTTCGTTCCTGTCGCCTTCTCGCGACCGTCGGATGTTTCAGGTTAACTTCCAGTTGCGTAACGCGTCTCAATTGTTTTCGAAGAACGTTCCTTTTGCTCCTTCCAGCACGCCGCGTAGAGTCGAGACCGCGCGTGCTCTCGAATCGCCGGATTGCGAGTTTTATTTCGATAGGCGAATCCGAACGATACGCCAGTAGATTTCTGAATTTAGGTTAGTTGTTCGGTTTGAAAGAATATTCGAATGTTATAGTATTTTTATGGTATCTCTAGCGAAAATGAAAAATGCTATAACATTTCTTAGTGCAAAATGTAGATATGTGAAAAATTTAATAATTATAGGGTAGTTTCTTTCAGATTCATTGAGATATCTAATATTATTCCTGATGCAATACTGTAGCCTACAGACTTCAAAGTGTTAACACATTGCGTACCGGCTAATTTCCAGAAAATTGAATTGCGGACGACGGTTTACAGAAAAACTCAACTATCATATTGTTGTGTAATATATTTTAAACGCACAATCCACTCAACGCCACGGTAATATTTTTTTAAACGCTGTAATTAGCGAAGCCAACTGTCGTTACATAAAAACGAGATTTCTCATTGCCAGTACGCAACGCGTTAAAATAGAATTCCTCGGAAATAAAAATATACAAGTGACAGATTCGGTCGAAACGACGCCGACCATTTCCATGTGCACTGCTCGATGAACGATAACGGCGATCGGTTCTATGTATAAAATTCGAACGGCTGTACGTTTCTCGAATCGATCGATAAAGTCGACGCGTCGAGTGTCCTGACTTTCGAGCCACGAGGTGCAAACAAATATTAGGCAATTCACAATCTGGCGCCGTTATCTCCGAGTTTAAAAATGTTTCGATAATAACGATTTGTTTACCTTGCCGTTATTTACTTTGGGACCGTTACCAGTTTATCACTGTCGGTCCGTTCGGCGATGGACCGTAACGTTACCGATCGGGTTCCGATAGCGTCGTCGTTTATTTTGCTGATTCAGCAAATAAAATCGGAATGTCACGGATCCCCCAACGAAATTCGTCCACCGTGAACTTGACGTGCTGCTGATTCGATCTGAAACTGTACCGGTTGAGTCATAGAGCGACGATTTAACGGTACGATAGTTTGCTCAACCGATAACGGCAATAAACGTCTGTTTTTATGACAATGAATGATTTACGAGATAACACGAGAGCAGGAGCACAGGATTCTGAACTGGAAATACTAAATTACGTTATTATCGCTGTCCCGTTTATCCCGTGACGTTCGTGGCATTTTCACGCGGCCACTTATCGATGCATGATGCAGCAGAACTTAGTATCTCTAATAAGGTGTCACTGGATCGGGTTCCGAATATTCTGGTTCGTTTCGAGTATTCAGGATCGACTCGAAACGAACTTCGAGTTTTGCTCTTCGACAGAAAAATCGAAAAGCAAGCGATTCGAAGTTGACAGATTTAACCCTCTACAGTGACTTTGAAGTCGCACGTCAATATACTGGATTAAATTGATTTATATAATCATTATTGCAAAATGACGAATTACATTGAATTATTCAACTTAAACTGTTGTACACACAGGCGTTTACGTTCGTCACTGTAAGTTCAAAGTTACAAAATATATTCGTTTTAATAAAATTGAATACATTGTTAACAATAGGTTTACGGTCATTTATTGTCTTCATTCTATTATTCCTAAAAGAATTGATGCTCGTTTATTTAGATTGTGGAAACTGGAGATTCGATAGTAATTGGGGTACATGTCAGTGTGATCAATGAAAATCGGCGTAAACATTTACAAAATAATATAAAATCCAATATGCGTCAATTTGACGCGTTTCGTAAACCTAGCGTTAATTAGTGTTCATACGCTGATATTTATTAATTTACTACATAAATATTTTTATAATCACCAAACAAAATTCGGCCCACAGAGGGTTAATCGGTGGAACAGGTCATCGTTGTTAATTCGTGTGTGTGATTGACCGAGAGAACCAGTTCTGAAGCTGAAGGATCATCTAGTATTATATAACCGGGAATGACGTGCGTGTCCCATGGAAAGTTTATAGGAATTTGTCTCGGGCAACCGTTGCCACTCTGACTTCACGGACTTGGCAACTATGCGAATGACGAACAAATGATGAATACATGTACATGTATAAACACACTGGTCTATTTACATATCGCGGCAATGCACACGGAAAGATTTGTACGCTGCGATAACAATGAGCCTTCTACAGTTCGCGTTTTCACATTTATGTGTATGTGTGTGTATATATATACCGTTCCCTGTAGGATTGTCACGATGACTAGATGGAACCCTGAAAATTCGAGGCAGCGTTTCTACTGAATCATGTAGGCAATGATTAACTGGCACCGTTCTCTCGTCGTCATTGACTGTACGTCGGTACGCGAAAATCTAAAAATAAAATAATAATAATGTAACCGCGGACTATAAATGTATTTGTATTTACAACGCTTTCGCGTTTTTCTTCATGCATTGCACTGCGTCACTGTGATAATGCTTTTTAATCTGTCGTTTAATTGCTAGTCTTACGTTAATGTAACATTTTAGATATATATATCTGTCGTAAATTAGAAATTATATATATATATATATATATATATATATATATATATATAA